TCCTCCTCCTCCTCCTCCTCCTCCTCCTCCTCCTCCTCATTAGATCATCCTCAACAGCAGCAGTAGCAGCAGTAGCAAAAGCATGATCAGCATCACCATCATCATCAGCATCATCACCCGCAGCAGCAGCAGCAGCAGCAGCAGCATCGTCGTCGTCAACCTTATCATAATCATGGCCACAACCACCATGAGCATCATCACCCACAGCATCATAATCAGTATAAGCAGCATCAAAATCATGAGCATCGTCGTCAGCATCAGTACCATCATCATCATCATCACCACCATCACCATCAGCATCACCATCACCATCACCATGATGATGAGCAGCAGCAGCATCATCATCATCATCAGCATCATCATCATCATCATCATCATCATCATCATCATCATCAGCATCATCATCATCATCATCATCATCACCATCATCATCATCATCATCGTCATCATCATCATCATCATCATCATCATCATCATCATCACCATCACCACCACCACCACCACCAGCACCATTATCATCACCAACACCAGCAAAATCAGAAACACCATCATGATCAGCATCATGACCACCACCATCAGCAGCATCATAGTCGTCATCATCAGCATCATCAGCATCATCAGCATCATCAACATCACCATCATCATCAGCATCATCATCACCAGCAGGATCGTCATCATCAGCATCATCATACCTTATCATCATCACCATCATCATCAGCAACAGCATCATCATATTAAGTAGCATCATCATCAGCAGCATCATCAGCACATTGGTCATGATCAGCGGCATCATCGTCAGCAGCAGCACCATCATCATCAGCATCATAATCAGCATCATCATAGAAATCATCATCCTTATCATAAGTAGCAGCAGCATCATCAGCGTGATCATCATCCTCAGCAGCATCATCATCATCATCATGAGCATCATCATCACCAGCATCACCATCACCATCACCACCATCACCATGTTCATTATCATCATCAGCAGCAGCAGCATCATCATTGTTCGTCGTCGTCATCATAATCATCATCATCGTCGTCATCGCCACCACCATCATGATCATCATCTTCATCGTCATCATCTCGTGATCATCCTCAGCAGCAGCAGCACCATCATCATCAGCATCATCATTATCATCAGCATCATCCACTTCATCACCATCACCATCACCATCACCATAATCAGCATCACCACCACCACCACCATCATCAGAATCATCATCACCATCATCATCACCGTCACCGCCACCATCACCAGCATAATCAGCATCATCGTCATCATCATCATCATCATCGTTCGCCGTCGTCGTAATCATCATGGTCGTCATCGCCACCACCATCATGATCATCATCTTCATCGCCATCATCATCCTCGTCATCGCCATAGTCACCGTCAACATAACCGCCGCAGCCCCGCCGCTCCCGCTGCCCCCGCTGCGGCGGCGGACCGCGGAGACCTCGAACTCCCCCAGCAGACCCCACCGCGCGGCCCGCCACCTCACCGCCCCTGGGTGCGGGCAACACTTGTTTTACCTAACAGCTTTTGCTGATAAGCTTCTAGTGGTCTCAAAAGAGAGCAGCAGATGACTCCTCAGGGGGGTCTGGAAGGGACCCGGGGAGGTGCCGCCGAAGCCGAAATCGCTTGGGACATCCTCGCAAAGTCGCTCTTGGTGCTCCCAGAACTCCATTCCCGGGCCACATTTTGGATGCCCGGAGCCAACTGTAGGCCACTTCGTGCTCTTCGACTTCCCAGAACTCCATTCCCGGGCCACATTTTGGATGCCCGGAGCCAACTGTAGGCCACTTCGTGCTCTTCGAGTTCCCAGAACTCCATTCCCGGGCCACATTTTGGATGCCCGGAGCCAACTGTAGGCCACTTCGTGCTCTTCGAGTTCCCAGAACTCCATTCCCGGGCACATTTTGAATGCCCGGAGCCAACTGTAGGCCACTTCGTGTTCTTCGAGTTCCCAGAACTCCATTTCCGGGCCACATTTTGAATGCTGAGGCAGGCTGATGCTGAGGCTGAGGCAGGCTGAGGCTGAGGCCGAGGCTGAAGGCAGACTGAGGCTGAGGCTGAAGCAGGCTGAGGCTGAGGCTGAGGCAGGCTGAGGCTGAGGCTGAGGCAGCTGATGCTGAGGCAGGCTGAGGCTGAGGCTGAGGCTGGCTGAGGCAGGCTGAGGCTGAGGCCGAGGCTGAAGGCAGACTGAGGCTGAGGCTGAAGCAGGCTGAGGCTGAGGCTGAGGCAGGCTGAGGCTGAGGCAGGCTGAGGCTGAGGCTGAGGCAGGCTGAGGCTGAGGCTGTGACTGCGACTGCCGTTGCCACTGCGACTGTCATCGCGAATGCGACTACGACTGCGAGAACAGCAGAATTCTACAACTGGATTCTCATCTGAATCTTAAGGGGAATGCTTCCAGATATGCTCCTACACATCGCTGTTAGGTTGCTTTGCCGGGATAATTGATCCGCGGGTCGCGAGCGCAACTCTTCCGGTCGAAGCTAGGCGGGCCGCGCGAAGCTTGAATTAGGCAAAGAAGAGGAGGGAGGAAGCGGCGGAGCCTCAGAGCGATGGGTGCGGGCAACACCTGTGTCCAGATCCGGTGCGCCCTGGGCGTTCTCTTGGACGGGGCACCGCAAGGCCGCGGCGCACTGGACATGTGCCAACATCGAGCCCACCTGGGGGCCAGACTCTTGTCCAGGCCCAGTGCGCCTGCGGGCTCTGGGCAGGCGAGCGCCCAGAAATTTCGGCGGTGGACAACACCTCCCTTTCGCAACCCTCCCCTCCGTGACAGCGGCCTGGGGCCGAAACCGACGGACCTGGACCCGCAAAAAGGACGGCCGCGACGCCCTCTCGCGAACCGAAAACGGCCAGTTCCTGAATCGACGTGTCCGGGTAGATCAGCCCATCCGTCTCCGAAGAAAACTCGGGGCCGCCGTGGACACGCGCACGCGCGCCCTGCCCGGCCCGGGGGGGGGGGGCCTGGAGGCCCCCCAGCACGTCCGAGACGCCCCCGGAGCCCGACCCGGGCCCCACAGCCGCGCGGCCCGCCCGCATCCCCCCCAGGACTCGCGACGGCGGGGGCAGAAGGCGGAGCCAGATCGGACCAGCACACACAGCCGGAGATCCCTGGGGATCGCTGGGCTTGGAGGGCGTCCTCGGGCGCCGCGGCCTGCTCGGAGCGTTGCGCTCCAAGCGCGCTCCGGAGCTAGACGAGCGCGTTCCGACACTCGCAAAATGCAGCTGCTCGCAATTGGCCTGGATCCGCCGCAGGGGATCTGCGATGCATTAAACCGCGGCAGACGTATGGCTTTTTCGGACGTTTGCGAGTAACTGGGCACTTTGCGAGTAGAGTGGAACGCGCTCGGCGAGGACTGCTCTGGGACGGATTTATCGTCGTCCCCGTCCCGCCCGACCGAGTCCCAGAGCCGTGCGGCCACCCCAAATCCCCACTGCCCCACCACGCCAGCCCTGCTTCGAGTCTTTCTGGCGTTCCTCGGCCTCCAACTTCCAGGCCTCCTCCTCCTCCTCCTCCTCCTCCTCCTCCTTCTCCTCCTCCTGGATCGGATCGCCAAATCGGATCGGGTCGTAGAAGGATCGGATCGTCAACGAACCGTCCCGAACCGAATCGGAATCGGAGCTCAGCGCCGGGCTCCCGCTGGGTGCCGGCCGCTGCCAGTGGATCGGGCCGAGTCGAATCGAATCGGAATATCAGCCACAACCAGCGAGTCGAATCGCATCGAATCGGATCGTATCTGGGGGCCCTGGGACACACAAATAAATACACACAAATAAAAATATCCCGATATTTTCCCATATCTTCCGGGTCTTTGTCTTCCCCCCCACTTCCCATATTTTCCCATATTTTCTGGGGAATCGACATTTAATTGTGTCTGTGTGTTTCTTTCCCTCCTGATCGTAGGCGGACTCAACCTTCCGCACCTTCGAAGGCCGGCAGATGCCGCGCAGCGGCCGCCGACAGCTCGGCCACAGCGGCGGCCGCCGTCCAGGCAGTTGCGGCGGCCCCGACGATCGCCACAGCCGCGCCGCCACCTGCTGCGCGGAAGGCTGGGATTGGCGGCGAGCGAGGGGGGAAATGAGAAGGAGAAGGTCTTCTGAGAAGCCGGCGGGACTTCTCAGAAGCCATCGCGCCTTCTGAGAAGTTTCCTGCGTCTTCGGGGAAGTCTCATAAAACGTCTCAGAAGGCCGGGGACTTCCCCCCCTCGCTCGCCGCCGATAGGAAGATGGAGATCGAAGGTTGCGGGCAACAACTCAAGTCTCCTGCGGTCGCTCGGGACGACCTGGGCACCTCCGGAACGCCCTCGACGAGGCGCAGCTGCCGGGACGCTTCCCGGGGCTCGAAGACCTCGAAGAGCCCACGAAGACACCCGAAAACCGACAGAAGCGCCCAAAAACAGAAGACGCACGGTCAGACACACACACACACACACACAGTGTGTGGTCACATCACACGGTGTGGTCACCGCGCCGTCTCGGGGCCCCCGACACTCTCTTGACATCCCTCCCCCGCGCGGGGCCGCGTCGAGCCACAGCCCGCGCGGCCGCGCCGCGGTGGTGCACGCCTCCTTGCGGCACTTCACGTCGGGCATGGCCATCATGAGGTCCTCCACTGGGCACTTCGGGGCCAGCTCAATGATACGCTGGCCACCGTGTCGCGTCCTTGTCCTCCGAGTCCTACTCTTCATCCTGATTCGGATCCTCACCCTCCGTATCTCATCCTCACTCAATCCGTCGCTTCGCCACTCCCTCCTCAAACCTCCCTTCTCTGGTTCTGGTTGCCAGTGAGCGAGATGGGCCCTGTAGGAACAGGAAACACTTGTAGCCAGCGTGTACCCCACACAGTAGGGCATTGCAGACTCAAAATGCAAAATGTATAGACATGTATATACAGATGTACTCACAAACGAATGTGTAAGCATATGTTTGTATTTACATGTCTGTACATAGCTACATTTATATACACACATATAAATGGAAATATATAGATATAGCTAGGGGGATCCTAAGATCTATAGCCATTTCAAAAGATACTACGAAGCAGCATGGTGTATCACTCGTGCGAGAAGTTGTCGCGTGCAGCATGCGATGTTTGCTTGTATGCGTGCCAGTTTCTAGTCTGAGTGAGTTGTCATTTCGGATCAGAGGAACACGTTGCGCCGACGACGACGACTGCTGCCATTGACAATCGTGCGAAGACTACGCGGGCACTTTGATCTTACTTTTTCGGCAGCAGGTGGAGAGCGCAACAGGACATAGATTCAGTAGAAACGAGACAGTGCGGCAAAGGAATGACCTAATGCTTCGAGTTCAGCTCAGCAGCAGGCTACGCGGGCACTTTGATCATACTTTTGTCGGCAGCAGGTGGAGAGCGCAACAAGACATATTCAGTAGAAGCGAGGCAGTGCGGCAAAGGAATGACCTAATGCTTCGAGCTCAACTCAGCAAACATCTCTCCAGTTTTCGACCACAGATCATGTCCAGTGCTCCAGAATAACCACTGAGCAGAACGGACGCGATCATCCCAAGAGCGCCGGTTAATCGCAAGGGACCTGCTCCCCATTACAGCACGCACATGGCGCCAGATTCGGTCGATAATCTGCGTGCCACCCTTAGCACAGATGGCGCTCCCGTCGGGCATGCGACGGCGGAATAATTGAACGTACTTGGGGCGCGACCACTTGCCATTGATTTTCTTTTTCTTGTGAACCACAAAGTCGTGAATAATCCCGTCAATGATTCTCTTCCCGTTGGCCCCCATCTCGTACGAACGGGCGCCGTCGGCATGCAAGAACACGCAGCGACCGCGCAACCACTTCGCCGCCTGCGGTTCCCAATCTTTCTTAGTGATTGGCCCAGGGCCTGGTGATCGCACTTTCGTGGTCTTGGGAGACGTCCTGAACATCACCGACGAAGATGGCGCGCCTCTCTGAACAATCCCACCCCACTGGTGCCACTTCGCCCGCTTGCAGCGCCCGACGTCAACAATTTCCTTGCTTAGATCAACCTCGTCTGCTTCCACGTCGTGCCACGTCCGATTGCCCCCAGCTCCGGACTCGATCTTCGGCTCCTGCATTCTCACGAAACGAGAACGAGCAGCGTCCAGACGCGATGCGAAGCGTCTCACGTACTTCTCATCATGATCCCACAATAAATGGCACTGCGCTGTCGTCAAGCCAACAGTGATCCCCAATAGTAGTTTTGCCTGCGATACCAAAAACTTGCAATCCCTGCCCCACCCCGCAGTAAAGACCTTTTGATTCGCACGTGGCAAGATGTGTTTCTGACAGCCCTTGGCGCTGCACCTGTAGCTGAGAGAACAGCTGCCCTTGCGGCGCCGCAACTTCCCGATGTTGTACGCGCCGCAGAATGGGCAATAGTGTTGCGTCCAATCCTTCAAGAAGCCAGCATTTGTTAGCTCATGGACCACTTGTAATTCAATCAGGCCTTCCAATTTCTCAATGCTCATTGCCCACTTCTGCAGTTTCCGCTTGACATGAGACTTGATGCCGTACCGAACATACGGCGTCTTCTTCCACAGCGCGGAGAATTTCTTTTTGTCGAGCTTCTCAGGTCGCGCATACATGCGCCGTTTTCCTCTCTCTGGTGCTGGAAAACACGACGCGGGCCGCTTGGCAATTCTCTTCATGGGACCACCCTGACCAGCCTTCTGCATGCAACATGCCGATCGTCCACGACCAGACCCTTCGACTTCGTAAGCTGCGCCATCCATTGTGGGGAGATCAGAAACATCGTACCACTTTGCGTAATAAAAGTACACGTTCTCGAACCTCAGCGCAGCTGACACGAAATTGTGAAGTGGCGCCCGCACTACCGATCCAATAGCGGCATCGTAAATGTCAACACAGCCCCCACTCATCTTCAAAGCTGCGAAATGCCCGCATCCTTCTGCATGCGGCTGCCAACAAACGACCTCCGAGTGCACACGAAACACATCATTAGGTGCCATGCCACACTCATGCAGCAATAATACCGACTGCTCTCTCTGAGAGTCATGCCCCCAATGCTCATTGAAACTGCGAACGCTGCGGGGGCCGTCGCACGGCGGCCAGGCCTGGTTGGGGGCAACGTCCAAGTACTGAACTGCGTGGTACAAGCAGGCACCACCAACGTCTGGCGCGAGAGGGGGCGGCAATTCTCTACGTCGAACGGCGCGACCATGCGCGAGGAGCAGTTCGCTGAGAAGCGGCTTGGCTGACGTGGCACAACTTACCCTGTACTTGACCACGGACTTCTCCTGTAGCTCTTCGAATGCATCGCTAATAACGAACGGCTGATCCGGCGATGATAGGATGATCTCGTCGAAAATGAAGCAGTTCACAACCCAATTGTTGGCAACACAGAACTTCAACATTCGCTGCAGCTCGTCGTCTTCGCACTCAGACAGGGCGTAGAAAAACCGCGTCGCCGACGGCCGCGGCCGCTCCCGAAAGAGCAACCGCAGATGCTGGAAACGAGCGGACTTCAATAAGATGTCTTTTGATTGAGCCACGTCCACGGCGAGCGACAGCAAGAACGGTAAGTTGGCACCTGGCTTGCCGAGGCCGAAGATCTTCGAGATCGCCATCTTAGCCTCGGAAATCTCAACTTGCAAGTACTCCTTGACAAATTATCTCCAAATGGCGTGGTATTTGACAAAGAGCTCCAAAGATCGCAGCGGCACGTCGTCCTTGGCATGTAGCTTTCGGACCTCATGAAGAAGAAGCGTGGGGAAACAGTTCTGGATGTCGACGCTGCAGTTCATGCCCGCCAGAGCAGCCGCGCGCGACTCCGTAGTCAGCCACTGCAGCGCTGGGCCCCGCGCGTACATCCTCCCAGGCAGCCCACGCTTGCGATAATAAGACACTCGAACATCAGCGTAGTTGCCCATGATATCGCCTTCATTCTCACAGCGGGTAATGTATCTGCGCAACACATCAGGCCTGCGGTCGCTGCCCCCTTGATGGCGAGCCCGAAGCGCGGCCAGGTCAACGTGCTCTGTCAAAGTGCACGCGAGCACGTCGTCATCCCGTGGTTCATGTAGCGTGCCATCGCAGTCCTCTTCCACAGGTTCTGCAAAGTGCTCTGACATGACTTCGCCGCTGGCCCACGGAGATCCCCATTCCTCCCAAGACCCGAAAAGTTGAGAGCCGTATGTAACCAGGAGCTCGTCGAACTTCTTCAAATCGATGTCAAAGCTATGATAAGTACCGCTGCCAGCGGGACGTAGTAAATACGGCCATGCATCAACTGCTTCAGATAAATATTGCTCTCTCGACTTCTTGCCCTTTTTGCTCGCCTTCGTTGCCACGCCAGGGATCCCCGTCATCCTCTGTCTTGCATGTGCGGCGATCTTGCTCGGGGGGGCGTCCTTCTTATCGATTGGATGGTTTGTGCGGTACCCTCAGACCGCCAAGATACCCGAGGAAAATCGGAAGAGCCCAAAAAAATGCCCCCCCGAGCGTGGTCCTCGAAATTCCAGACCCAGTGGGCTGGAACTCCAAAGACCACGCTCGGGGGGGCATTTGTCTCATCTACTGGAGGGTTTGTGGGATACTCTCACAAGATATCATCAGACAAATGAAAAACAACTACATATGCCCGCCAAGCATGGCCCTTGAATTTGGAAGCCTTCGTTTTTTATTGTACACCGGGCTGCAATCTCAAAGGCTGTGCTCGGAGACACCTTGGGTTGCGTCATCCTTGTTTCTTTGAGGGCGCGAATTCTATCAGAAATGCTCTTCCGAATTTTGGTTTCCAACAAGGCGGAAAAACCAGAAAAAACAGAAAAAAAACAGAAAAAGCTGAAAAAAAAAACACAAAAAAATCAGCTGGAACCCTGTGTTTTCACAGGGATCACCTGTTTCGGAGCCTCAAAATCAAAGGCTTGACTGTGAAAACACAAGGTTTTCTTTGATTGTTGCTAGTTTTACTAAGAAAAAAGGGTAGTTGGGACAGGTGATCCCTGTGCCTGCACAGGGATCACACTCAGGCCTTACCGCTTTTTCTTAATAAAACAAATAAAAATCAAAGAAAACCCTGTGTTTTCACAGTCAAACCTTTGATTTTGAGGCTCCGAACCAGGTGATCCCTGTGAAAACACAAGTTTCCAGCTGATTTGTTTTATGGTTTTTCCGCTTTTTTCTAGTTTTTTCAGCTTTTTCTGGTTTTTCCGCCTTGTTAGAATTCTGGTTTCCAGCAAGGCGGAAAAAAACAGAAAACACAGAAAAACCAGAAAAATATGAAAAAACAAAAAAAAAAAAAAAAAAAAAAAAAAAAAAGCTGGAACCCTGTGCTTTCACAGGGATCACCTGTTTCGGAGCCTCAAAATCAAAGGTTTGACTGTGAAAACACAAGGTTTTCTTTGATTTTTATTCGTTGTACTAAGAAAAAGCGGTAGCTGGGACAGGTGATCCCTGTGCCTGCACAAGGATCACACTCAGGCCTTACCGCTTTTCTTAATAAAACCAATAAAAATCAAATAAAACCTTGTGTTTTCACAGTCAAACCTTTGATTTTGAGGCTCCGAAACAGGTGATCCCTGTGAAAACACCAGGTTCCAGCTGATTTGTTTCTGGTTATTCCGCTTTGTCTAGTGTTTCCGCTT